TATAAGAGAGTTTTAATAATAAATTTTTATATCTAATCTTTAAAAATTCATATTTCGATGAATTTTAAACCAATTTTGATGATTTTACTATTGTTAAAATCATAAGAACCTACTCTATAACTTTATTTATAAGTTCAAAAAATATTTAATTAATAAAATTTTTGTAATTAAGATTACAAAAAAAATATACCATCAAGTTTATATATAAATTTAAAATGTTACATCCTACCCTTAAAGTACTTTTTAAGAACATAATGTTTCACTAACAAAAAAACCTTTGTAAAAGCAAATTCTAGTTCTTAACGAACATTATTATTCATTGTTAAAATTAATCCAAAATAATCCACCTTTCCAAGAACTTCGTTTAGAAGCGAATATTTTTATTATATACTTACTAGTATTAGTTATATTAACTATATATAAGTTTTAAATGCCAAAAACGGACAACAGAAAAAAGAAGATTGAGACGTTTAAAGTAAATTTAGATTTGAAAAAAACTCTTATAATCCGTTAACGTATTGTATTTAAGTTTAAACTACTTCTTTTAATAATTCTAATACTTATTTATATTACTTTAGTACTTAGCAGATTTAATATGACTTTACAATAGTATAGATAGAAACGTGTAGTATTAATTAATAATATATAAATGAAAAATAGTGGTGCAACGACTGTAATAACTTAAAAATAAGATTATTTAATAATTTATATAAATAAATAATGGAATTTCTTGAAAGTTTTTCTTTGACGGATGTAATAACTAAAAAATTTATTAACGTTAAGTAGGATATTACCTAATTGATAATATAATTGATAATATAGTTTAAGGGTAGTAGCGTCTCTAACAAAGGCAGTAATAATTAAAATATGATTTCTACTCGATATATAATAAAATATAATTAATAAAAGATAATTAATAAAGAATAAGTTTCGCTAGTATGTAGTATAAAGTTTGTCTGTATTATGAATTCGTTCGATTAAATTATGTAATATGATTGGCTAATTATCACGGGAAATCACGGGTAGATCTATAAAACTTAGCCAATCAGATGAATGTCTTCCTATGAGGCGTGGTCTAGGAAAACTGTCCTTCGGTACTTTTTATGATTTTAATTCAATTAAAGTAGTGGTTCCTATTTATATGAAGTACAAATTTTATTATACGTTAGCTTAATAAAATAGAGATTTTTAGATTTGAAAAGATCAATTTTTCGACGACATAGCGCGTCAATTTAACTTGGCGAATTGGAATCAATAATATATATGACTTCGTTCGTACAAACAACACCTATCGCTATCACTATAAATAAATTTAAATCTGGAATTGAAATTTCGTACAACATAGACTTTAATCACACTTTTCTCTCGAAACTAGAGATGTGCAATTTACGCATTTGTCGAATCATGCGTGCGACATATGATAAATAAAAAATGTTAATGAATCGGCCAGGTATCAATTGCAATTATTGAGAAAACTTTGATCGCATCATAAATTTGCATATTCGAACTGTCAACAAAAATTCTATATAAATAATATTGTGCACTACTACGAACACTAACTAACCACATTAGGTTGAGTTAGAGAACGCCCTTTATTTGTGAATTTTTCATTGCGACTTTATTGACTTTTTTTATTAATATTTTAATATTAAAATAGTTTACAGTTGCAAATTGTTTTTAGTAAAATTTTTAAACTTTAAATTTTTAATAGTTGAGATATTTTAATTCAAAGTCTAAAAAAATTTACTTAGAAATAATTTGCTTGGTTCTATTGACACTCCCCATGTGTTCAAATTTTATTTACTACGTTTCGGTTTCAGTTTCGGTTTGAGTTATTCTTTTTTGAAAATTATCAATTTGAATTGTTTTAAACTAATAAAGAATTTATATCGATATCCTTAATGGTTAATTCAAAAGCCATTACTAAGCCGGCTAATTATAAGCCGTTCCATCCATAAAACAAACGATTACAATTCACTTTCGTTATAATGAAATTCTCTACTGAGGAATAAAATCTTCATATGAAGAGAATATATACTTCACTAAATCTAGTTAAATTTAATAATTCCGTAATTTAAAATTCTTCATTATATCGAATTTTCACTATATCGAGAATTATTATAAGAGTAAGCTATATTTGGACTGGTTTCACGTTATTTAACTCTTGGTATATTTTAAAGTCTACTACCTTTTTTAACTTCGTTCTAATTATTTTATTTACATTAATTTCATCCATTAATGCAGAAACATTTATAAATACATTTATACTATAACTTCTTTATAAAGAACTTTGAGCATGACCGACCGTAAAATTTTAATTAGTTCAGTTTTGAAAGTGTAAATTTTCCATGTTCTTTGATTCGATGTTATTTATACAATTTAATTCAAGTTTTACAGCTCATTTAATCTGTTCGCGATTATTATTCAGTAAATTATAGCAATTTTTACAATACGTTTAACTATTTATCCTAGACTGAGTAGGGGTTTCGTTTCTTACAGAAAATTAAAAAAGCCCTTCCAAAGAAACTTAATATTCAAAGGTGTGTTTTGTAGAAGCAAAAAAATAATGTTTGAAATTTTTTGAAAACAGTTCAAAATTTTTGGAAAATTGTCGAAACATCATGACTGTTTTCTTAGATGTCAGTAATGCAAGAACTTTTATTGTTATCTGCAAATTTTTGCAAAGTTCAATTAAAATTGTATTTGATCATCAATTCTCATCTCTCTTGTGCGATGGCTATGGCGTGGATATGCCGAAAATATTTCGGCACTATTAATTACCAATATATGTTCGGCAACTTCATATCAAAAGTTAAAGCGAAATACATACAATAGCTTCTATGCCATATATGGGTACTTGTAAATTACCTTTGATCAGTCAGTTAAACCGGAAGAATAGTGCATGGTGTTACGTACCACAGCTATTAAACAGCATAAATAAAATGTACGTACAATCTTATGATTTACTGTTACAACGTTTTTTAACTCTGTTTGAACCTACGTATCTGTAACTGCTAATATACTATAGCCTTTTACGATGGCTGGATATAAAAGAAATCAAGAAATATTTCAAACATCCAACTCTAATGATAATGAGAATAATTTAGTTGCTACTAGCAGTAGTGGAGCTCAACAAACAAAACGCAAACGCACAGAAAATAACGATAAAGAAAGCATTTGTTGGAAATATTTTGAACCATTTAAGGTCCCAAAAGAAAATGGAACAGTAACAAAATGCACGATTCCTGGATGCACGACAAGTTACATATGGTGCGGATCTACTTCTAATCATGTTGGCCATCTTAAAACTAAACATGGTATAATGAAATCTTCAACATCTTTGACAGCTTTAACACCTTTAAAACCTATAACATCAACAATTAGCTTTAATAATCCTGAATTAGAAATTAATATACCATTAATTAAATTTATTATTTCTTCTGGTGCACCTTTTAGTATTGTTGATAATTTAAAGTCCGCAGGATTTGTTAATCCAGATATTGAACTATCTACTTCCAATATTATAGAAGGGCAAATAAATAAAGCATATAATCGTTTATTCCTTCAATTAAAGTCAAAAGCTCAGCAAGAGAAATCTATTATGCTTTCAATTTGTGAAATTCAGCCAGATGATAGGATTGGAGAATCCTATGTAGTAATCACTTGTAATTGGCTAACTAAAGACTTTGAATTTCATAAAATCTTATTTTTTGCAAAAAAATGGTTCTCTAATATAGACCAAAAAGATTATTATAAAGATATTATAGAAGCTTTATTAAAGTTGGAATTTGCTAATTTGAAATTTTATAATGATGACGGTAATGATTTTTTCGAACTATTACATGATTGCAAATATGCAAACTTTCTACGAAATCTTACACGATTGCGTAACTGTCCTGATAATTTAAACTATTTAATAGAAAAAAGTTTAAGTAAATGGGCTATAAAAAACGGTAATACTCAAGGAATGTTTGAAATTACAAAAGCTATCAAAAATGCTACTACAAATCTTTGTGGTGTAATAAGTTTTTTGAAGTCTAATATAGATTTAATACAAAAAGAAATACAAAATATGCAAATAACGTTTGATTATTCGACAATTATGGACATTCAAAATGCAAAGAAAATTAGTTGTAATTGCATATATCATAAAATAGAATTTCTTAGTCTAATAGAAAACCCTTTTATACAATTAGTCAATAATTATGATAATTATAAAGATGCTAATATTAGGAAAGAAGGCAAATACTTTAAGGAACTTATGTTAGATTCTTTGCCATTTGGCATATTTTCTAAATTATTGCAAGTACTTAAACCTTTGGAACATATTACATGTAGTTATCGTGTAATATCTACGAAAGAGTATAATGATTTACTAGATAGAATTAGCATTAATGCAAATAATATGTTGAAAGAACTTCAATTTAGTAAAGATTTAGAACACGAAATCCTTAAATCATTTCTAATATTTTCATGTTATGAGGAAAATTATTTATTTATTAAGCGGCTAGCTTCGTTTTTAGATCCACGTTCTAAACCAGATGAAATTTCACCTGTAAATTTGTCTATGATTAAAGAATTTACACTAAAAAAATGTCAAACATTTTATTTAGACAATATTTTTTCGGACAATTTGGATAAATCAATGCAAGCAGCAAACGAAGAGTTGAAATGTTATATTAATCGCCCACAATTATTATTAGATAGTGATATTAATCCGTATGAGTGGTGGCAAGGTTCAAAACAAATGCTTCCTGGACTAGCTGCTCTTGCAAGAGAATATTTACCTACACAAACTATGTATGAAGATGATCCAGTAAAAAATTTAGATAAACTTATAAAAACTCATGGTGATGAGATGGCAGAAAAAATTGCTTTTTTACAATATAATATGAAGTATATTGATTTATATTTATAATTCTAGATATATTGTACTTCAATTATAATAAGCATAAGTTTAAAACTCAATTGTCTATGTTTGAGAGTAAAGTATGTTTTAATAATTTAGCGAGAAAAATAAATTTAATTCAAATAATTGCATAGTTTATTTAATATTTTATTGAACATATTTAACTGTGTATTTTCTTCTAATCTACGTTAGATTTTCTCAGTAGAATTTGTTATGCATACGTGTAGTTTTCACAATGCGGCATGTTTGTATCATGATTTTATGCAGCTCTTTATAGTAACAAATATATATGATTTGCTAAAATATATTTTAAATGTTCTTTACCATTTATCTGTACAATAAATAAATTATTCTATAATAAATTCTATATTTCATTCAAAATGAAATTTAAACGCATAATTTAACTTTTCTAAAAAATTTTACATTATTACTATTAATTTAACTTTAAATGATGACCGAATTATAATCAGATGTTACGATAGAGAGCCTTTATCAACACACATCACAATTTAGCTCAGATCGTAAGCATTAATTAATGAATTTTATTATACTACAATAAGCGATTAGAGTACAATACACTGTGAAAAAGAGGTAAAAAAGAGTTTTCGAAAGGTACTAAAGAGACAAAGACCAAGATGCTAACAAAAACTATGGTTTTCTATACAAAAAAGGTAGAACAATTACTACGTAAAATGTAGTCATAGCTTCCAACTCTACAAATTATATCGTAATAACGTAAAGTCTAAAGAGTTAGAAACTAACTGATGCAATCCCAATATTATTACCAACTATAAAGCAAAAAAGAACGTTTATGACAATTTCAACTTTTCGTCTTTGGAAAATTTTTTATATTTCTTAGATAAATTTTATTGCCGTTATATCTGAACCCCGATTTAAAAAAATTGCCGGAAAAAAAGCAGGTTACATCACTCGGAAGCTTGTTTAAAATTAGGCATGAAACTTAATAATAGATATTACAGGCAACTTGTAATAATATAATTTATGCTTTTAAAATAAATTAATAGCCAATCATGGATGTGTCAGTCAAGGTTGTAAATAGTATGTTAATGATACGATAAATGGGCGGATGTTACAAAATTTATTATATTGTGATTTTTTTACAAATTTCATTAGAAACTTATTATGTGTAGAATAATAGAACAATATTATTTGAATGCCATTTTATTTTTAAATTCAAAAAGCTAATACTTTTTGTAATCAGTAATTTCTCATCAACATTTTTTAAGTGAAAAGTGTCTGTGATAGAAAAAAAATATGGAATAGTCATGTAAAAAGAATTTTATTGAATTGTAAGCTGAACAGAAGGAATTTTCATCATTCAAAATATGTAAGGTTCTTTTTAAAATAGTGTCAACGACATATAATGTATCATTGCAATGACTGTTTAGCCTGTCAAAATGATACAGTATAGAATTATTATTTTTTTATTCAATAACAGTATTTGTTCAGATTACAGTAACAACTTTATTAGAATCTTATTGAAAAATTCTTTGTAACTTGGACGTTAATAACACATATCTACTTTTTCAAGTAGCTTATCCTCAAAAATAAATAACTATATACTGTATAATTCACTTTAAGCTTATATGAATATATATTAAAAAGCTGAGTTTATCTCTGGTATCTTACACAACTGGTAAATTTATACTATTGTATAAAAATATTAGAGGAATCCTGTCGGTATCATAATAACTTTAAAAAACAAACATGTAAATTATTGTACCTATGTGAGATTTTTTTTTATATGTAGTAATCGGTCTTAAAAATAAGTGTCAACATAGTAATTTTTATATGATATGCTTGCCTACGGAAAAAAAATTAATGGAAAGGTCTAATATTATATATAACTTTTAGAAACTCTTTTGAATCAAGAGAAAATTTCATTACCTGCTATTACACTGTATATGTACGCGGTTTGATTTACTTTTGTTATTATGATCGAGATATAACTTCATTGTCATGAAAAATTGTAGAACCTACTGATATGTGATACGTTTAGGATGTAAAAAATTAGCATTATTAATATCTCGGATAGCTGCACCCATTATATCATTTAGTATGCCGAATATTATTTTCGAGAAATTTACGTGCGAGTTTTCAGGTATAAAATTTTATAATTGAGCCAAGGCTATGAAAAATTCCATGAACGGAAAAGAATTCACAGATTCATAATATTTTGAGATGTTAATAATTTTTTTGCACTTATCTATGAACCTTGAAATTTTGTTGGCTAAAGAACCAACGCAAGGGGCCGATATAGGTGTAGAAATATCAATATCTATTTTAGAAGTTCATAATTTTAGTGATATCTAAGTAAGTGATTCAAAAAATCAGACAATTATGTGAAAGCCTTCCTAAGAATTCAATGTTCTCACTGTTTGCTTTCCTTATTTTATGAAACTATTTTAAAGATGTACTATTGAAAGGGTGATCTGTTTCTTTGGAATCTCTTAGGATTTGAAAAGCTTATCAAACATTGGTAATTCTTTTCGCCTGACTAATGATAATTTATGGATTTTGCAAGTTTGATCCAAAAGGAAAATGTGACATCTAACTCTGGGGTGTGAATTTTTTAAATTTATGCTCAGTAACATAAAATACATATGTTTAATTTAAACAGGCTGTGCAACCGCAGAGTCTATTAGAGCTAATCAATTCTTACAATAAAGAACAAAAAAATGGTTGGTCTGAATTACTTTACATATTTATAGTAAATAGATCAAAACCATAGTTCTGGTATTTTCCAGTTGTAACGCCCCTGAAAAATTTAATCTACGACACTCATAACAAAAGACTTTTTCTCACGCATTCTACATTTATTTGCGAGTGATACAAAAACATAATTGCGAACAAAAAAAAATAGGAATTTTAAGGCCTGTACATTTAATATAGTAATAGCATAGGAAAAAAAAAATGCTTTTTTCGATTAAATAATAATATCTAGTATAACCATTAAGTTACGGCACAAAAATTTGATATTTTTGTTGTAAATGGAAACGAAATTTAAATGGATTTGGAATTTTTATATAAAACCAACATTTTGGGGTTGATTTTATCATATAAACAAACACCTTACCCTAACCCTAGTTTAGCTAGGACACTTAATTTCTGTTTCCCCTTACAACATATTCCAACTTATTCTTGTTATTTCTTATTAATGTGGTATTAACATTCAGTAAGAATTAAGGTTGACAGTTAACATTGTGACAATTATTCGTGACAGTATTGTCACAGATAGATAGCTTTTTGAATAAAAATAATTTAGAACCACCGAAAATATATAGCCTTATTTTTTTTTTACATAGATTTATTCATTATAGAAGTTTGACATGCTGATAATTTTTTATGGTAAGTTATCATAAAAATTTAGTGGTAAATTGCCAGATTGCAATTAATTTTGGGTATCATTGGATGAGACGACATAACTTGGATATAGTTCAAACAATCAAATGCTCATTGAGCGCAATGTTTTTAAGAATGCTACGGTCTTAAATATTTAAACATTCAATCTTAAATATTTAAACATTCAGAGTTATTGAAAATAGAATGATGAAATTGTTGACAAAAATTGTTTGCAGTAGAGATGAGATCCGGATATCCGTTGTGTTAATTTTATAACAAATTTATTATGAAGAATCCGGATATCCGGATATCCGTTAAATTTTAAGTATGAAAACGGATAACGGATCGCATCTCTAGTTTGCAGAAATACCAGTCTTTTGATTAATGACAATAAACTTGGATTTGAAAAAAAATGCATTGGCTGAATGTCTTTATAAAAGCACTATCTTAAAAACTTAAAGCACTATAATAATCACCTTGGTCTTGATAAAGTAAAAGCATTTACAGATGCTCTTAATCAAAATACATCTTTAACTTCATTGGATATTATATCTGATGATAAAGTAAAAATACTTACAAGGACTCTTGGCAAGAATTTTGTTCTGACTTTTTTGAATATTTCAGATAATCACTTGGTTTTTAAAGGAGCGAAAATGATCGCAGATTCACTCAATAAAAACACTATTTTGACCTCTTTGGATCTTAGTTCCAATGAGCTTCGTGATAGAGGAGTAGAAATGCTTGCGATGGCTCTTTCTGAAAACACAAATTTGATCAATTTGAATATTGAAAATACAGTTATCAGTTTTTTCTAGAGGCGCAAAAGCACTTTACAAAATTCTACTCTAGCCACTTTATGTCTTAGTAATAATCACCTTGGCTATGAAGGAATAGACACATTTCCAAAGTCTTTTTGCAAGAATACTAACCTGATCTCATTAGAACTTAGTTATAATGAGCTTGCCGCTGAAGAAATAAGAATACTTGTCGCGATTAAAGCTTGAATCAGGATCCTCAATTTAGAAATATAAACACTACCAAAATCCACTTATACTCTTTTATATCAAAACTAACTATTAAAAAAAAGCTAAAAAAAAAGCGCATCCCAAAAATTTCTAAAAATTTCATATTAAAATAATTAAATTTCATGCTTCAACCGCGACAATACTTTTGGTGACCCTTTTACAAAATTATCTCCTTAAAATACTTCAATCTTGGATGCAATCGGCCAAATTTTAAAGAAATAAAATATATATATTAGAGTAGGCGCTTTGTAAAAACACTACGTTAACCGTTTTGGTTCTTATTAATAATCGAATCAAGGTTACTCTTAATTGATAAATTCTTTTTAAAAATAACATTACCTTAAAAGATAAATATTAATACAGTAATTGTATCAATTTATTAATTATCGTACGGGTTTTATGTAACAACCCGTGCTTTTTGAAAGTTTATTCGCACGGGTATATATGTAACTATAAATTATTATTTAAAATTCTTATTTTTGGGCGAAGATTAATATATGTATTAGATCATGGTTTTTTTAAAATTCTACCTTCTGGACAAAGACTAATAATATATTTTAAATTGAGTGAGAGTGACTTTTAAAATTCTCGCTTTCTTGATGACTAAGATTTGGTCTGATGGTTTTTAAAATTCTTATTTACTGACGAAGACTAATATATGTAATGCTTATTTACTGACGAAGACTAATATATGTAATGCTTATTTGCTAATGAAAACCAATATTAGATTGGGTGGTTTTTAGAAAATTCTTATTTGCGGATGAAGACTATTATTAGGTCGAACAGTTTTAAAATCCTTATTTGTTGGGCGAAAACTAATATGATATTTGATATTTTTTTTTGAAATTTTATCGTTGAGTGAAGACTAATATTAGATCGGGTAATTTTTTATGGTTTTATTTGCTGGTCGAAGGTAATATTAAATCAGGTAGTTTTTTATAATTCTCATTTGCGAGTGAGGACTAATATTATTTCAATGTGGACTATTAGCTTATTTGTGGTTTCGAAGTGTTTCAGTATTTAGAAGAGTTTTTTTAATTGTTGGACTTTCGGATCGTTGACTGTAAGCCTGTTGTTTTATATTTTGAAACGAAAAACTAAGCTCAAATAAGTCATAAGTTTCATTAACAATAGTTTAAATAATTAAATAGTTTGTTTAAAAGAAGCGAAGCACGGGTTGTTACTTCAGACCCGTACGATAACTATAATTTATGTGCTACTATAGTAGTAGGACGGGGAAAGAATTAAATTTAATCGCATAAAAACAAAATTTTTTGAGTAATTGTACAGCGAAATGTATTTAGTACAAAAGCCTTTTTTTTTTTTTTTTTGTAAGCTTGAGAAATCACTACCACCAAAATGACATAATCTCGTGCACAAAGAAAGAATAAAATCAATGATCTTTAGCAGGCATACCTTAATTGTGCAATTTTTGCCGGAGTTTGTAAGCATGCAAAACTCAAAAACTTGTAATTTAACTTTATACGTCATTGAATAAAAAAAAATTAAAACTATCAACTGATTTCTTTTAGCACATATATCAAATAGCGCTCTAAATATCTATTTTAAATTAGTTCCAAAGATGATGGTAAGCGCCTTTGTAATTTGTGTCTTCATGGTTCACAGCTGATAACCCCACAATGGATCGGGTTATACGAATTTAATGAATCATTTAAAGCCAGACATGGACATTTTAAGAACAGCGGAACAAAATTATATCTTTACAGTAAACTCTTCTACATCTATCTATAGCACAAGTGCGCTCAATATTTTTAATTAACCTTATCATAAAATGCTAATTTTATTTGGTGGATTGATTTTTTTATTTTCAAAATTCGATATTATTAGGTTTAACATATTAGCAATTAATTTAAATGTAATTGTTGTTTATTGCAATTTTACTTGATCGTAATTGCATAAAAATTTAATTGCAATTAAATTTTCGGCACCCCTGATCTTTAGCAGTGTTGTTAGAAGTATAGATTATGTTAGCTTCTTCAAAGCATTTTATAATTTCTTTTACATCTGAAACTTTGGATGTAATTTTCAATTAATTTTTTTCAACATGACTATAACGTGTATTAAGGTTATGTGATCATAGCTGATTGTAGCCAATAAAATCACAATATCGCGTGTAACTTAAACATTCGAAAAACACAGAAAATCGAAATAACCCAAGATTTTATTATGATAACCACAGTTTGACTTTTAAATAAAAGTTTTCAGCATGAAATTTTAGTCATATAAGAACATTTAAATATCGAATATTAAGCAACTTAAAGCCTGCGCTAAATTCTGTCCTTTGTACTCTTTCGATTTGGTAATCGGAAAAACCTGTGACAGATCTAGATTGAATACGTATTACGTAAATTTTAGTTAGTAGATGCCAAATAAAGAGTTTGTGGCTGGAATGATTTACTATTTAATTTTTAATTTTACTGTATAAGAATTTTCTATACCGATAATTGTGTTAATAAATATATAAATTTCTTTATTAAATTTATCCTGATAGACGAAACATTTACCTTATAGTGTTACGGTGGTAACGTGAAGAAGGTGTGACGTTAGACTTGTATCGGGCTGTGTGAAACTTAGAATCAGTACAAGCCCTTTATTTGTAAATAGAATTTTCTAAATATGTTAATACTTACCCTTTTGTAATCGAAGATCGTAACCGAATTAGTATAGTCGTACCCAGGTCCTGTAATAATCGTTAGTGTTGAAACAAGTAGCAATAGTATTAGTGAACGAAACAAGTAGCAATAGTATTAGTGAACGAAACTACTAGTTTCATAGATCAAAAAGTTCGATTATCGTACCTCTTACTATTTCGTAAGGTATAAAAGCAGGGCCTTCGAGTCTTTAATAAAGTCGTTAGGTTTTTCGATGTCTTAAATGTCTAAAATGGTAGAATAGAAGAATCGATTGCTCAAGTGTTTGAATAGT